CCCTGCCCCCTCTCCTGCCATGCCTCTGCACACACACCCACACAAACACACACACAAGAAAACAGCAACTTCAAGAAATGAAAAAAGTCTCAAAGCGTGCGGAGAACAGGCAAACAACCTTAAGCCTCACAATTAGCCCTAAAGCATCAGAGAATGACATCCCTAAGTGATTTTTTTAAAAAAGTTTAAATTATGACACAAGTTCTGTTTAAAATGGAAGGGACGGGCCACATTTTTAAGTGGTTTCCATCCTCAGTAACTAAAATTAAAAAGTGGAGGTAGGCTTTAATGCCTAAAAAATTTACTTATATTGAATATCTCATTTCTTAGCCCAGATAATTACAGTGCAATAAAAACAATGGAACAGAGCTGGCAAAGAAACGGTAAGTTTGAACACGAGGAAGATAAAGAGACCATATTTTAAATCCTTCTGAATAATGTAAACATGGTAATTAGTAAGCTAGCATGGCTCGTATCCCATCAATCCATATACTAGCGCAGTGACTGGCACTCTGAGCACACTGGCCTGTCACATTTGCCTTGGCGTGTGTACTTTTGTGCCACTTGAATACTGATCACTTGTGTTCCTCCAAAAAGTTCAGAAGCCATATCAAAAACACTATCACCTGACTTCCAAGGCCCCTTCCATACTTCACACACTAGTAGAATTTGCACTTCTCACTCACAGTTACAACAAAGAAACACAGTATTTTTAGTACTCAATCAACAACTTGTATTTGGCAAAATTTTAAGTGCTTACTATATGCCAGGTAACAGCTTTATATATATGTAGCAGATTTAATCATAGAAATTTAAAGACTACAAAGTCCTCTAGGATATGCAGTTATGCATTCTTTTTTTTACTATTTTTCAACCAGTTTTCTCAATACTGGTAAAGATGGTAATATATATTCATTAACTGGTACCATCATCATTAAACAGAAAAAATTCCAACTTTTTTTCCCTTCTGTTTGAACAAAATATAATTCAACTATATATTTTCCTCCGAAAAATGCCAAAGTAGAATTTAAAAATACCAAAGAAATTTCCACCCAAAAGAGTAACATTTAAGAAGAGTATTTAAATAAAATCATAATTTTTACTATCATAAATGTGTTCGACATTGTAGCTAATTTTGAAACAGATAAATCAGATAACACCTGACCAAACATATTATCTAAGGTCTCTCTTTAGAATACCTATACAGAGAGGCGAGGCCAAGGTGTCGGAGTAGTGAGATGCTTCCGGTGGACCCTCTTACAACGACCAAAAAAAACAAGTGATTCGATTATATATGGCAATCTGGGAGCCCTGAACATCAAAGGCAGAGTTGAGGAACTGGACTGAGTGGCAGGGGGAGGGAGAGATGGTTCAGAAGCAGCAAGGAGTTGCCAGACATGACCCAGCGAGAGCCTGAGCCCTTCAGGCCTGATCAGCTCAGGGGTTGAGCGGTGAGGCAGGCAAGAAGCCGTGCTTGGGAGGCGCGTTTTTCGCACCAGGAGAGACCCAGCCCCTGAGAGTCTACACGGCCACCCAGAACCAGTGAGAAGTAGCCCTCATCAGCGAAAGTAAGTACCTGCATACAGCTTATTGCACGGATCAAAAACACCCCCCCCAGGGAAAAACCTCTGTCCCATTTACCTCCCCGCTCCCTGCTCTGCACTGGGTCCTGGACCAGCTTCAGCAATTGCCGAGTCCTCTAGGCCAGAAGTAAAATCTGTCACACGCCTGGAGCCACTCTCCCTGCCTTGGAGAGTGAACAAATTAACAAATGGGAAAAAAATAAATTGCCAGCTCCCCTAAGCCAGGAACCCAGCGTAGGCACAGCTCCTTTGCCTAGGCACAGGCATAAGGGATCCACGGACTTTGAGTGCCTTTCCTCCTGCATAGACTTGTGCAGGCCCATCTCAACAGCGTAGGCCCTCATTACCACAGTACAACAGGGAATATACCGGAACTCTAACTTCAACTGTTTCAGCTGTGAAGTGGCAGGTTCTTGACATTTGACACTGCTCAGCCCATTAAGCAGGGTCTTCACCTACACACAGCAGGGGCCTGAAGACTGGTGGCTCCACCCAAGCCACATAGCCACCTGTGATAGGGGCCCATGAATAAGAGGTGTCCCCCAGTCCTTACAGCCAACAGCATTAGGTGCTCATAGTCCAGCTGCAAAACCCATCAACCTACATGCTCTAGGGAACAGGGACACATCTTCCTGCTGGACACTCGGGGGCAGCCGTCAGCCCCTTGCCTTGCTCAGTGTGTCCCCCTGCTGCAGCCAGATGCCTGTGCCTACACCAATCACCCGTGCCTGTCTAGGACTAAGTGAGAGCCTACACCACACACTTGGTGGCTACCTACCTGGGCACCTGAGCTGAATCCATATAGGAGGAGTAGACAGACTCCTGAGCTCACATACCTAGTAACAGATTTAACCACCCGGTGACAGGACATTAGAGCTTCAAAGATGCCAATAACCAAACTAGCCATACGAGCAACCTATTTGGGCATATCAAAACAAAGCAAGAAGCTAGGACACAGTAAGCAAACATAAAATAAATATAATAACTTATTGATGGCTTGGTGACAACAGTCAATATCAAATCACATAAAGAGGCAAGCCATGATGGCTTCAGCAAGCTCCCAAATGGAATTACCAGAGGCAGAACACAAAAGATTAATATACAGAATTCTTCAGAAAATTAAGCAAAACACAGAACACGCAATAGAGGAAATTAAAAAAATTGGAGAAGAGCATAATGACAAATTTAACAGGCTACAAGAATCCATACAGAGAGAGAAATCAGAAATCCAGAAGATTAACAATAAAATTTCAGAATTAGAATATCTATACAGGTGGTCCCCAGGTTACAAATGTCTGACTTATGGACAACCCACACTTGCCCTTTAATTAATGTTGCATAAATTTGCCCTTGCTTTGAAACGACTGAACCAATGACTGCTCACAACAAATTCTTCATCACAATCACCTCCACTTGCTGCACATGCAGCTTTTAAATCATTGAAAAGACCTCAGGCCTTTTCTTGCACTAAAACCAAAACCAAAAACCAAACCTGTTGCCATCCAGTCGATTCCGACTCATAGTGACCCTATAGGACAGAGGAGAAACTGTCCCACAGGGTTCCCAAGGAGTGGCTGGTGGATTCAAACTGCCAACCTTTTGGTTAGCAGCCTGAGCTCTTAGCCACTGCACCACTAAAGTAAGGCTAAATAAGAACCGTACACACCTGTTCTGACTTACCTACAAATTTGACTTTAAGACACAGGAATGGATCTTGTTCATAACCGGGGACTGCCTGTCTCTAGTTAGCTTCTAGCTTTCCCACTCTCAATTGCATAACACGTAAGAAAAAACACAGAAAACAAATGTACCTACAAAGTAATCTTACCCAAAATCTTATACTATACTTGAATCTGATCAAGTCTCTAGATCTAGCTTTCAATTTACAAAGAAAACAAAGGGTACATAGGACGCGATCACAGAGATGCAGCCATCAAAATCCAGTCTATGACAAATGCTACAAGACAAATGACCCAATTTCTTCAATAAGTTCACAGACTATCTCAACACTTCATTAAAACCTCCAGTTTCAGTCTTGCCTCCCTGATACCTGCTGTACTTTCTTACTCTATGTGTACTTGTATTATACTTTGCACACGTGATTGTAACTACATGTGTGCCTCCCATTACAGTAGTATTATAGTGGAGTACAATGAAGTAGCTTAGAACAGGGCTCTGAAGTCAGCCTGAGTTAGAATCCCAGCTTTGCCCCCTCAGTTAAACCATCTTTAAAGTGGAGAAAATCTCACTTACAATGCAAAGGAATTTTAAGGACTTGGTCAGAAAATACATTTAAAGCACCTAGCATAATGTCTGGCATACCTTAGGCAGTTATCAATTATCTAATGAATGAATGTAAGCCATATGCAGCAAAGTTAAGTAATTGTGAATTTCACATCCTTCTCCTTCATCTAAGGAGCGCTGGTGGCATGGTGGTTAAGCGCTCAGCTGCTAACTGACTGAAAGGTTGGCAGTCTGAATTCACCAGCCACTCCATGGGAAAAAGATGTGGCAATCTGCTTCCGTAAAGATTAAACCCATTGCCGTCGAGTCCATTCCAACTCATGGCAACCGTACAGGACACAGTAGAACTGCCCCATAGGGTTTCCAAGGAGCGGCTAGTAGATTCGAACCGGTGACCTTTTGGTTAGCAGCCAAGCTCTTAACCACTGTGCCACCAGGGCTCCACTCCCTAAAGATTACACCCTAGGAAACCCTATGGGGCAGTTCTATTCTGTTTTATAGGTTCTCTACGAGTCAGAATCAACTCGACGGCAATGGGTTTGGCTTGGTTTTTGGGTTGGTTACTTTGTGTAACCACCTTCTCGTAATAACTAGAATAGTAAAATGCCCAGATGACCAATGTTGTTGCTTTTAGTTTCCACTGAGTTGACTCTGATGCATGGCAACCAATAGGAAGAAAAAAATAAGCAAAGATAACTGAAAAAAAAATCAAGCTATCAATTTCTAAGTAACTGAGTTTGGCTCTAAGGTACTAAGGAACAGTTTAATCACAGCAAATACCACCTGGATAAAGAACGGAGTTATTAAGAAAAGGGCTAAAAGTAATCAAATTATTTTCTAACTAAAAACAATCTACACATTCATCTTTAAGCATAATTTTTAATATAGAAAACATTTTTTAAAAGAAAATTTTAAATGTCAACATTACTATCCTGAATCTCTTCAGTATTCTTGCTTTAAAAAAACATAACAAATTAATTCCACTAACTTTCCATCTGAACAGTAGGTGGCAAACTTACATACTCTGGGCCAGCTACTGCAGTAATGAGGTGGTAGGAAAAACACAGAAAGACTCCACATGTCATCATAAAAAATCCTGAAAACATTCTTGTAAAACTGTTTAAAAGTCCTATTTTGAAAATAAAATCTTTCAAGTAATATGAAGATACTTACATCTCAGTTTGTCCAGCATTTTTCCACCACACATGGTTGCTAACATAGCTTTAACTGAAAATACCGTCAACTTGCCTCGGCCCTCACTGCAAAATAAATTACATTAGAAATAATTGCTATCTGGAACCACAAAAACAATCAAATGTATCACCAAATACTGAGCAACCAGTAAACTGATTTCTACCCTTACATGTTACAATTTTACCACATTTAGAAACTCTGGATTTTTTTTTTTTTCTTTTGTAGAATTAAGGCTTCATTTAATGCTGGGTGAAAAATGCTATAAAGCTAATCTGAAGTATTTGGAAGTGAGTTTTAGAAACATCTTGTAAAGTAATTTCTACTGGCTATGTAGGCACAAGCCAAGTTTACCTTAAATAAACTTCCAATCAACTTAACCTATTAAATCCACAGCTGGTGTGTTTTTAAATATATGAAACTGAGGTGTCACCTGGTTTGAGCAACAATTCAGACATGTGGCCTCATATCAGGATATTATAACAACAGTTTACCATTATGTACTAAACCAATAGAGTACACAGGGTTATAAAGATTTTATAGCACATTCATCGTTGTTTGTTTTAACTCTAATAAACTTCATGTTACCATGTAAGTGTTTATTCTAAACAGCTCAAACATATCTCTCTGTCTCAGATCTTCTCATAGCATCATTGTGAGAACTGGAAAGATGGAAGGTAGAACATCATAAATGAATTACCCAAAGAAACGCTTCACACCACCAGCAGAATCAAGACAATATCACCAAGGCCCCTTGACCCAACACGTCCTGCTCTATCCGTTCAACTATGCCCTGGTTTCACAGCAGATAAAAAACTTCACTGGCAGGTTTTTAAAGTTATCATCTACAAGTTAAAAATGGGCTTTTGTGTCAATTTTATACAGCTGTGCTCACAAAGTTTCATGGTAACTTAGGGTAAAATACCTTTGCAATAATGAGAACTACATCATCTTGATTTAGAGAAGCATTGTCACCCTATTTACATTCACTAATAGTCCTAACAGAGTGTTTCCTATTTTCCAAACCTTCTTTGTTTACAGTAAGGTCAAACCTGCAAAAAGGCAGATGGTCTATCAGCCAGAAGATTCTCAGTGAACACATCACCAGAAAATAGCAGTGTTTGTTACAGTCTGATTTTTAGCTATCACATCTCGTTTAGTTTATTAACAAGATGACATAGAAATCCCTGCAACTAGCTAATCTTAGGATGGAGTTTTAAAAACACATAGTTCTTCAGAAATACAGATAGTGCTCTACATCTATGGCAATAATGCATCTGGAAAGGATATTTAGAAATATCCACTGCATCACATGAGAAAGGTAAGTGGCTATAAAGATCATCAATCATGTTAAAAAAGAATGAATTCCTAAGACTGATACAGAACCTTTACAGCGGACACTTCTGATCATCCACCATCCAAATCCCAAGTCTACCTTTAAGCATGCCCTATCTTATGTTACCCACTACCTGTCTGTCAGTTTGTTGTACTGTGGTGCCTTGTGTGTTGCTATGATGCTGGAAGCTATGCCACTGGTATTTTCAAATACCAGCAGGGTCACCCATAGTTGACAAATTTTAGCAGTGCTTCCAGACTAAGACAGACTAGGAAGAAAGGCCTGGCGATCTACTTCCAAAAATTAGCCAATGAAAACCTTATGCATCACAATAGAATACTGTCTGACTCGCTGGCTTTGGACACATCATCAGAAGGGATCAACCACTGGAGGAGGACATCATGTTTGGTGAAGCAGAGGGCCAACGAGGGCAAGGGAGATCCTCAGTGAGATGACTGACACAATAGCTACAGTGATGTACTTGAACATGCCGGCAATCGTAGGGATGATGCAGGACTGGGCAACAATTTGTTCTGTTGTACATAAGTTCGCCACGACTCAGAGTGACTAGATGGCAGCTAACAACAACAATCTGATGATACAAGTCCACTTCCTGCTACCAAAGTCTGCAGAGAAAAAAAAGCTTTCCTATTCTTTCTTCGCAGTTAGGACTTGGGCACATGACTCAAGTGCCACCAATAAGATTCACCCACCTCAGACTTCAAATATAAAATTATTGACTTTCAGAAGCAGGAACTCCAAAGAACACACCTGGTAGGATGGCAGCAGTAGGAGCCATTACATTGAGTTTACAGAGGCAGCAGAGACTGATTCTTGTGGCAGCAACCACAGCCCAGCATCAACGGTGCCGGGAGCACAAGCAGCAATGTCTGCGCCCAGTGGAGGTACAGAGTGTCTTCATGAGACCAATTTCATGATACGACTTTGAGCTTTGTTCTTGGCAGGGTAGTCTTTAAGCCTACTAGCCTACTTTCCCAACCTTCTTAGAGAGTCTGTGGGTCACCCACCCTTTGACTAAATTAGCCCGAGTTGGTTTAAACGGCTTGCAACTAAGAAGTCTGATGGATACAGCTTCTGACCTGAAGTCAGTGGCCCAGAAAGATGAAGCAACAAAAGAAAAAAATTCTTGAAGTCCAAAAAGTAAGAGGAGTGAGTATTCCTGATGATCATCAGAGCAAGAATGAAGAGGAAGTGCTCCAGAACAGAAGAGTCAAGCCTTGCTGTACAGCTAATGACATTTTTAAAGGTAAATTTGCTCAAAACATTTTTGCAGACACACATTTCACAGTACAAGAACATCCAGATAACTGAACAGGAAGACAAAAGTAAAAATTAATCTTAGAAGAGATATGCATAAAAATCAGAATGCCGATTAGATCTGGGGGAAAAGAAAGGGCTGTGATACATAAAGGACACGCAGGTGGGATTCTGAGGTGCTGACAACATTCTACTTCTTAGCCTCCATAGTAGTGATGGGGGCCCTGGTTGCAAAGTGGCATCTGGCTGCTAACCAAAAGCTCGGCAGTTTGAATCCACCAACTGCCCCTTGGAAACCTATGGGGCAGTTCTGCTCTGTCCTATAGGGTCACTATGAGTCAGAATTGACTCAATGGCAACAGTGGGTTTTTTTTTCTTTTTAATAGTACTTATATTAATATTTGCTTTATAACAATTCATTAAACTATACTTTGTTTTATACATTTTTCTGTAGGTGTTTTATATTTCTCAAGAAAAACTGTTAAAAAAAAAATGAATCCCATAATTGCCAAAAATTGGGGGAATCTTAAATACTAAGTAACAGAAGCCAGTCTTAAAAAGCTACATACTACTATATGATTCCAATTACATGACATCCTAGAAAAGGCAAACTGAGGAGACAGTAAAAAAAACCAGTGGTTTCCAGAGGTTCAGGGGGAAAGAAGGAGGGATGAATGGGTGGAACATAGAGCATCAGGGCAGTGAAACTATTCCTTATGATACTGTAAAAGTAGACACATGACTTTATGTGTTTGCCAGAACCCACAGAACTGTATAACACAGAGTGAACCGTAAGGTAAATTATGAACTTTAGTTATCTAATGTAGCAATACTGGTTCATCATATACAACAATGTACCACAACGTAAGATATTAATAATAGGGGAAACTATGTGCAGGGTGGGGGAAACGGGGATTTGTGAGAACTCTACTTTGAGTAATGTTTCTGTAAACACAAAGCTTCTCTAAAAAAATAAACTGTGTTTAAAAAATACATTAAAAAAACAACAACAAAAAGAATCCTAGGAAAGTGAGAGTTATTATTAATGGACAACGGTAATGATTTAAGGGAAAAAATGATGGAGAGGACACCTACAGGTTAAAAGACACCTAAGATATATAAATGGCAACTTATAAAATTTTACATAGCAAGAGTTTCTATAATAACATGTTTAAAAAGAATTAAAATATCGAGACCCAGGCGCCATCCTTAGAGATTCTGATAATTTGGCCTAGGGTGTGGCCTGGGCACTGGTAACTCGTTAAAGCTTCCCAGCTGATTGAAATGAACAGCCAGAATTGAGAACCACTGGCCTGAAACAAATCAACTTTATTAAAAAGAAAACCCAATAGAAAAAAGGGGAAAGTACACTTGTGCATAAAGGTCCCTGGGTGGCCCAAAAGGTTTGTGATTGGCTGCTAACCAAAAGGTTAGCATTTTGAACCCACCCAGAGGTTCCGTGTAAGAAAGGCATGGCGAACTGCTTCCATAAAGATTACAGCCAAGAAAACCCTATGGAGCAGTTCTACTTTGTAACACATGAGATCATGAGTTTGGTCAAGTTAATGGCCAGTGGGCTTGGTTTCGTTCAACACTCATGCACACAAAATATACAAGGAAGAAACACAAATGACTATCAAGCACATGGACAAGCACTGACTTTAATCAATAATAAAAGAAATACAAATTGAAACAATACCGAGATGTTTCTTAAAATGTCACAAATTACTGACTCTGTCTCCAGAGACTGGCCTTAGTCAGTCTAAATAGTGTGAAGTCTGACTTAGGCAGAAGAGTTAATAGTTTGGCTCTATTTTATTTTCTCTTATTTTTTAATTAATTTAATATTTATCATCGCTTTTTAAAAATAATTACTTTTGAAATTATCACTTTAAAGAGGGAGAGTGCATGTGCGCCAGAACGAAGTATTCAGTCATCTCTCTTATTTTATTAAATGTAAAGCTCCAACATGATCAATGATTACGTCTTTGGTTAATTCTGTACTTTTTTTTTTAACTTTTCGTTAAAGTATAATATACATACAGAAATTGCATAATTTATAAATCTACAGCTTGATGAACTTTCACAAAGAGAACACATCCAAGTAACCAGCACTTAGATCAAGAACAAAACACGACTACCACCCAGAAGCCATGCCTTGCACTCCTTCCTAAACTACCTCCCACAGTGGTAACCTCTATCCTGACTGCTAACCTCACAGATCAGATTTGCCTGTTCTCTGACTTCTTATAAATGCAGTAGTACAGTATGCACTCTTCTAAGTCTAACTTCTTTCATTCCACGTAACATCTACGAGCTTTATCACATGGTTAATTACAGGTAGTCCCCAACTTACGATGTATTCAAGATACTTATGACTGTCCTTTTTTTTTTTTTAACATCATTAGTAATATGTACTACATACTATGTTGTAGCACGTAATTTGCTGATGTC